TCCTGGCCCATTACAGGCTCGTGCGGATCGAGTTCAATTCGAGAGGATACATTCCCTTATGTCCGTGCGGAGAAACAATTTATCTCACGTAGACATAAGGTATATGAACCCCAAAGATTACTTGTTAAAAACCCTGCGGAGAAACAAATTATCTCCGTAGGTTAAGCTTTCATCTCAACTTAAAAGGGACAAAGCTCGTAAGTGAGCTTATGGTATGCAAATGAATGTGATGTGTGAGGAGGAACATTCAGCCCTTTGACTCAAAAGGAAAACGAAACCACTCGAAAAAAAACTTGAACATATCTGAAAGCAAAAGTAAAAATGTTAGTAAGACAAAAAAAGAAGTAATTGCAAACTTCAATAAATGAATCATAAATTAACTAAAAACCGAAACTCATAATTTTATCACAACGACAATGTGTAAACGACTTATAGCTTGACTCTCTCTAAAAAAATGTCCCCAGCAGAGTCGCCAAGCTGTCATAACCGTTTTTCAGGTGGAACAATTATTTATTGTTTTAAAAAACAGTTACGACTTTAGTTTGGAAAATTCGATGATTATGGATTAATTGAATAAAGTTGCCATCAACCTTTGGGTTAGGTAGGTCGAGTACCTAAAAACGTCTTTTAAAAACAATTTTAAGAAAAATCGTTTTTTAAGACAAAAGTTAGTCTACGTTTTACCAAAGATTCGATTAAAAACGGGTTCGGGAGTCGGTTACGCATGGGGAAGGGTTAGCACCCCACATCGCCCAAAATTAGTACTGTGTCGCTTACACGTTGTCGTAAATGGTGAAAATCATGAATTGAATATATATTTAAGATGTGATCCATTTATTGAATATTAATTAATTTACTTCAAATTAATTAATTAATTAGAGAAAATTCTTTAATTTGAAAAGAAATCGACATTAGTAATCCTTTGCCTGGAAAACTATTCATCTATTTCTTATTCATAAAGAAAATTTCTTCATTGATTTTTAAAAAAAAACGCAAATAGAATAAATTATCGACAATTTGCAAAAAACCAAAATAAATTGCTACATACAATGCCTTGAATCACAAAGATTTAATTAGTAAAACAAACTAGATTATTTCAAATCTCATTTCGTTCGAATGTCATATCGGATTGTACTACTTCGACCAAATGATTTTCACTCATTCTACGCATACATGTTCTTGAAATATTCAAGTAGTATTTAAAATATTATTAAAAAAAATATTATATAAATCAATAAATAATTAATTATAAAAGAAATAAAAATGATTATCAATGCAAAAAAGGAACATTCATGTAGTAAATAAAATATTTATACGTTCATGCATCCACTTAAAACTATAGCAATATTTTATAGTAATATAATGTATATATACATGTACAACATACAAAGGATAAAAATAAATTGAATTACGAAACAAACCAAAGTTTCACATATTTAAAATAGGTCTTGTAAAGTGATAACAAAAGATAAATTACATAGCATTAATGTAAACATGAAAAAAAATCATGAAAAATATAATTCTATGCATACATAAATATCTATCCTAAAATATTAAAATAAATATATTTTACTAGAAATTAAAACTAATTAAAATAGGAAATATATACTAAAGAGTAAGAATATTCACATATATGACAGTAGCAAGGACCAAAATAAAATAACAATTACATACCCAAATCACAAGAAATTAAATTTCATCACTGACTACAATAAAATAAAGTAAAGTCATTAGCTATACTCGAATAAATGGCATATTAGAATGTGACAATTAAAATAAAATAGAAACAAGATACTTAAATTAAAGAAATAAAAGAACGGAAATGTAAGAAGGTAAAATATTAGGGGTTAAGAGCTAAATATGTCCATGGGTTAGAATATTATATATAGTCAGAGGATTAGTAATGCAAATAAACCAAAATAAATAAAGGATTGTGACAACAATGCAAATTCACGCTTGAAATAAGGAGTCTTAAGCGTAATTAACCCAAAAACTTGATATTTAGGCTAATATTAGCCATTTACACGTAACTTGGTAGCCAGAACCCTAAATGGGTTTCCATTTTTTAGTTATGTTTTCACTTGCTCTCCCCCTCTCTCAAACGGCACTCCTCGTTAAAATCAAATGGCCATGTAGGATCTCCTCCTCACCTCCGGCTACCAATCTCAATGGCCACGACACGCCTCAACCACTTAACGAACCGAACGCCCACTTTTCCTCTCTCTATTCTTTTCCTTTCATTCTTGACCAAAGGCTTAAAACGCATGGTCAACCACCACGAACGGTGGTGCCACGAACCGAACAACCCCAAAACTATCCTAAGAGACCAGAAACAACCACTGACCCTCCTAGATCTAAACCGACTACTCACATTCTCGATGCTAGACTCAACTTCCAACAACGAATGGACCCGACTAAAGACCATTCACATGCAGGGTAAAACCAAAAACCTTCCTTATATTATTATTATATATATATATATATATATATATATATATGCATAGTGTTTTTATATCTGAAATCAAAAGAAAGTGGAACAAACCATGACTTTTGAGAAAGAAATGCTCCTAGTATAATAATGTTGCTTGCCCAAATCTGATTTTTTTATTGCTTTTTCGAATGATTTTTTTCTTGGATGGTTACAAGATTTTTCGAATGATTACAAGATGCTCCCTCTTTTCTAAGCCTCGCCCGAATCCTCTTTTTTCCTCTGGTTCGAATAGATTCTCACCCTCCCTTTTTTTTGTTCTTATTTCTCCTTGATTTATCAATGACCTCTTTACCTAATCCCATGGTTGTATCTAATTTCTTTGTGTTGGTATGGAAATGAAAGGTTTAGGTATGATTTATGGATTTGCCTTTGACTTTGGAGATGTTTAATTTTCCTTGATTTGGTGTATTATTGGGGACTATGATGATTCTGGATGGCTCTGCAACGATGGCTCGGCTCGGCTGCTCTTCGGTGGCTCATGTGTCGGTGAAGGCCGGGTCTCATACATCTCCTGTGGCTGCTGAAAATTGGAAAGTCAAACAGTGGCTGACTAGGGTTTTGAAACCCTAATAAAGTCAGGTCGGGTCTTCTTTTTGGGCCAATTGCTAGGTTGATTCGGATATGGGCCTGAATCGGGTCTGGGCTCCAAGTTTCTGGGTTGTATTGGGTTGTTGGATTAAGTGTTGAATTTGGCCTGCAAATGTAATAAATAATATTAATAAAAATAACAATAATAATAATATATATAATAATATTTTTTAAAAGCCGGACAAAAGGGTGTCTACACCTTTTTTGTATGTTATGTGTTTATTGGAATATTTGATGTTTAATCCCCTATTTAAGCGTGTTTTTGTATTTTGTCATGTGTAGTGATTATTTAATTTTATTTTAAATTGTATTAGGACATACGACTTATTTTTGGCAACTCTAAACATCAATGAAAACTTCTTATCATCCTCTATCGTTTGATCGATTTAAAATTTTCCAAAACTTCGATATAAAAACCTAATGCATTTTGTGGTTTGCGTCTTCATCGGACTTGAGTATTGACATGTCTTTTCAAGCATGTAACAATCGATCTTTTTTTGGTATAAAATTTCAATATAAAACCAAAGGATTTTGAGATTTTTTTACATTTTATATCGATAAATTCATCTTATCATCATCTATCACCTAGTTGATTACTTTTTTTGTAAATTCATAGAAACTTCAACATAAAACTTAATGGTTTTTGGAGTTTGGATCTTTGTCGGATTTGAGGAATTTCTTTTTATTTTCTCGGCAATCAAACAATTGTTTTAGAATAATCTAATAAAATATTAAAGAAATTAAACAACAATCTAACAAATTAAAGAAAAATAGATCAAGAATAGAAAGTGTTCAAACAATTATTTTGATCATCGACCAAACTGAATTAACTAAAATTGAATTAACTGATTTTTTTTGTTGAACTATTAATTGAATCAATTTTCTCTGAAATTAATTAATCAAACCTATCAAAGTTATGTTAATTTGGTTGGCAACTGAATTAACCAAAAAAATTATTTGTTTTTTGGTTAGAATAATTTAAATTTAATATATGTGTTTTTTTTCATTTTCGTTAAAATTTGATTGAATCTTAAAAGTTTAATAGATCTAATATGGTTAAAAATAGTTAGGTCCTAATTATTAACGGGTTTAGCTTGAAATATATATGTAATATATAACATTTAATAATTTTAGTTAAGTAATGATTTTGAATCAATTTAACATTCACCGATGTAACATTTAATTAATCAATCGATTAACTGAATTAAATTATGATTCTTTCAGTTAATTCGATAAAAATCAAATAATGAACAGTCCTAAATTTCACCGTACCAGCCATTTACAATTCCATAATCGATAATCCCCTTATTTCTTTTTATTTGGTCGTCTTTTATTTTTCAAAGACTCCACCATACGTTTTTGGGCTAAGGATATCAACTTTCTATTATCTTCTATATATTGCTCTGATTTTTTATTAAATAAAAAATATTATATTTTTTAGATAAATATCAAAATCTAAATCCATATAAGATAGAACAACATAAATATTTTTAATTACTCATAAATTCGAGTTTTTTTTATATTTTTTTTTTCAAATAATAACTCTACTGATACTTGTCTAAAAAGATATTGTAACTTGAAATATCTTTATCCACCATTTGAATCTAACTTACCCTTTCTTCTTCAAAGGTACACATAATCGAGTTTTAACTCACTCATGTCTACTTCCAAACTATGGATACACACATAATGACGGATTTAAAAATATTAAAAAATTCAATCCGATCGAGTCAGATCGGAACTCATCAGATTTGAGTCTCATACTCATCCCTAACCATATCAATTTTCATCGTGACGCACTAGTGTCCCACCACAAACTATTTCAACATTCAAATTATTATTATTAAATTGATTTCTCAATTCATTGAGTACCATTAAACACTATATAAACAGACACACCACCTACAAACATTCCACACACAGAACAGAAACAAGTGATCAATTTAACTTGCTACTACAAAATGGAGTCTTGCAAGAAGCTCGTTCTTCTCGTCGTCACCGTGGCATTGGTTCTTCAAGCCATGGTGCCTCCTCCGACGGCATTCGCTACTCGTAACGATGTTATGTCAATAGTCGCTGGTGAAGCGAAGAACCCCGGCAACTATTTGGCCATGGTTTTGGATGTTAACCGACCTCGCAACTGCATCCCTAAAGGCGGTTGGTGTATGTTCGACATAATGGGTTGCTGTAAGCCTTGCGGATGCCTTGCCGGGTTTTGCTGGGTCGTCGGTGAAGATTGCAACTGAGCTCCGTGTCGAAGGACGATGAGCTTTTATTGTTATATGTGTATTTGAATAATGGACCTTCTGTTGTGTCCTTGTTTGGTTTAGCTGTGTGTATTTTTGTAAGAATTTGGTGCCTGTAATGGTACTGTGTGCACCAATGTTATCGGTATGCGATGCGTGTTGTTGGTGGTACAATGTTTAAGTATAAATAACAATAATATATAAGAATGTTTGGAAATATATAAGAATGTTTGGAAATATATTAACCACTATTTATGGGTATTTGCATGTCTTGTGGAAGCTAAAAATAACTTTTTATTCATTTTATTTGAAGTAATATTTTAATATTTTTTTATTCAATTAATCACCTTCTTCAAAATTATAATTTTTTACGTGTCACATTAAACTGAATCAGTCGACATCTTCTTTGACAATAGTAAATATCAATGAAAACTTCTTATCGTCCTCTATCGTTTGATCGATTTAAAATTTTCAAAAACTTCTATATAAAACCTTATGCATTTTGGGGGTTTGGGTCTTCATCGGACTTGAGTATTTACATGTCTTTTCAAGCATGTAACAATCGACATATTTTTTTGGTATAAAATTTCAATATAAAACCAAATGGATTTTGAGATTTTTTTTTACATTTTAAATTGTATTAGGACAGGCGACCTATCTTTTGGCAATTGATCTATATATCTATAAATTCATCTTATTATCCTCTATCACCTAGTTGATTTACTTTTTTTAATTTTTTTTAAAATTCACATAAACTTCGACATAAATTCACATAATCGTCAACATAAAACTTAATGGTTGAAACTTTTTATATTCCAGTGACAATAGTTGAAACGCGATCAAAATTTAGTAACTAAAGGTGCAGTATAATGCTAAAAAACCAATTAGTTGTCCGTTGTACTTGTCCCACTCGGTTTTTATTATCGAGATGTATTCTGATATACTAAGGGTGTGTTTGGTTGGGGGGAATGTGTGATTCTCATAGGAATGGAATTCACATTCCCCTGTTTGGTTGGCCGGGAATGTCATTCCCGATAATCTTATATTACCAATAGTGGATTTTTTGGGGTATATTACCGGGAATGTCATTACCTTCCTTTCCTTAGGTATTGTTGGATTACCAGCGTTTTGGACTAAAATGCTCTTAAATTTTTTTTCTTTCAAAAATATCCTTATTATGTCATTGAATAATAAAAATTCTATGAATGTTAAATTACAAATTTATCCTTAAACTATTTTAGATTTACAAATAAAAGTTCAGGGGTTAAAATAAAATTTTATCCTTTCATTAAACCTTTTTATATTTTCAATTTTGTAAAAAAAATTATAAATTTATGAATTTAAATTTTTTAAAGAAAATATATAAATATTTTTCAACTTGTTAAAAACAAATATATAATAAGGATAATTTGGTCAAATATACATTCCAATAATCTTTTATTCCTTTAACCAAATACGGTAATCTTACATTCCTGCTAAGCCAACCAAACACAAAATACAATATTCTCAGTAATCCTATTCCTTGGTAGTCTTACATTCCCACTGGTAATCTTACATTCCGTGAATCAAACACACCCTAAAGGGTAAATTTTATGTTTAGTGCTTAAATTATTGTTTTTGTTTAATATAGTACTTAAAAGGGTAAATTTTATGTTTAGTGCTTAAATTATTGTTTTTGTTTAATATAGTACTTAAACTTTATTTTTTGAAAAACCATATCTAATGTTTAGTTTAAATTTTAGTTTGACATCCTACGTTAAAAACTTACTGGCATCGATGATGTGGAATTATTTCCTTTTTGATATTTCACGCTTCTTGTGATATAAATTCTTCATCATCAATGTTGTTAAGTTTTTAATGGTGTTCAGGTATCAAACTGAAACCTAAACTAAATATTAGGTATAGTTTTAGAAAAAATATAGTTTAGGTACTAAAACGGGACAAAAGCTATAGTTTAGGTACTAAACATGTAGTTTATCTTATAATTATTAAGTTTTGTGCAAAATTCACTTTAAGCCCCTCTTGAATATAATTAATTAAGTTTAGTCGTTTTAGCATAAGTTTTTTTATCTTGGTCCCCAACAATTTAGATTTTTAATCTCGCCACCAACAAAAAGATTTTTGGCTTCTCCCCTGAATAACTCATTTTATATAATTGAAATTACAACCTAGCATTGGGGGCAGCCTACTACACTGCCTCTCCCTTACCCCATTACATATGGGAATAGGGTCGGCTAATTTTTGAAATCCCATTAGGAGTGTAATTTATCATAGATACATAATATTTTTATTTTGGCCTTAAATAAATATTTTCTAATAACTTTTTTTCATTTCAAAATATTTTTCAGTCTTGCACTTTTATATATATTATAGATAAATATAGATTATAAATGATTCTTTTGCTCATCATAGATGAATTATTTTATAAAAATCACCAAAATTATTTTCTTTTAATCAAATTAATAGATGATTTCCACTTGGTTTGATAAAGACGGAAATCATTATAATTCCTAGACAATATGAATGGCACAACCAATATTAAGTGGTGTGAAATTCTAAGTAGTACGTGCCAGTTGAGATTACGGTTAATGGAGATTGGTTTTTTATTTGACTATTTTGGATATTCTTCAAATTCTACTCTTTTATGTTTGGTGTTCGGGGATGTCGAGTAATATGTCAGAGTAATATGTCATTGCCTCAACTATTCACGCTTTTACTCATCAGGTTGATACTAATCGATCATCGTTATATTTTACTTATGATTGTATTGAATGTATGCATGACATTGATTTACATTATGCCCTTTATGGTTAATGCAATCTACGTTCTTATTTCAAAAACAATTAAAGTATATTATTTTTATTTATATATTTTAAATATTTTTATCAAAATAAATATTTAAAATATTTTTTTTCATTTAGGTACAAAAACAATTAAAGTATATTATTTTTATTTATATATTTTAAATATTTTTATCAAAATAAATATTTAAAATATTTTTTTTCATTTAGGTAGTTAACACATTTTTTCTTGTCAAAGTAATTACTTAAAGTATACCATATGTTTTATCTAGGTATCTGAAATATTTTTAATCAATTTCACGTGTCAAATTTTTAGGTGCTTAGACGAAAATATGGTATATTTTATGTACTTACTTTGGAAAAAACAATACTTTAAATACACATATACTTTAACCAAAAATATTTTAAATAGTTATATTTTAGGTATAATTGATGTCATTTTAACTAGTTCGTTGTTTTTTCTATCAGTTGGTTCAATTTGAAAAATGAGTAAAAATTTGAACACCAAAAGAGACAAATTAATTGAGGGACTAAAATAATATTTTTAAAAAGTTTAAGAACCAAAAGTATCATTAGACCCAGAAATCAATAAAAATAGTGGGAAGATTAAACTTAGCAAAAGCATGTCAGCATGTGTGGAAATGTGAACTATATAAGCCACTACTAAATCAACTTAGGGGTGGAATTAAAACGGAATCCACTCTTTTTTTTTTTGTTTCCTCTTAATTCTTAAGACTTCGTATTGATTAAAGTGAATTGACTCGGGTCGTATACATAGTTTTTGTACGTGAGTCTCTTAACGATAATTTTCTTTATATACAAGAATTCAAACGCAATATTTATTTAAGCAACCGTCAATAATATGGAATCCACTCTTTAAACTCACAAATTCAAATATGAACCACCAAATCACACAAAGGAAGTGTGGAAATTTGGTCGAGATTAGACTCCTACCATTAAAACCCACAACCAACACATCAAATAACAAAGACTTACGCAAAATTTTATGTTAGATGAAATGAATTTATAAAATTTTAAGATGTGGAAACATATTTTTAACAGAAAATATAAAAAAATATCCTAATTATATAGGAATTTAAAAATTTTAAGGGGTGACCGTCCTCACCCGCCCTCTAGGTTCATCCCTAACATAAAAGAAGATAAAAAAAATAGTGACGAATTTGATTTTCAATTCAATCGGGTATGTCATAAAAAATTTAAAAAAACTAATTCATTCTCACTGAAATACTGATATCAATTTTGTTAAACAATTGTTGATTATTTTGTTGTATATTCTGATGATATGAAAGAAAAAAAATGATGTCAACGTTTTAATAAAGATGAAATAAGTGTTACTTTTTCATAATATTTGAGTTAATTTGATTAAAAAATAAAGATTTCAGGGTCAACAAGAATACAATTAAAACTTAACGGTTAAATAACTAAACTAAAATAAGGGATAAAAAATGTCATTCTATCTTTTTTATTATATATATAATTAGATAAAATACATAAATTACATATAAATTAAATTTAGTTACAATAACTAAAGTATTTTTTTATTAATATGAGGTAAGTATAAGGTAGTATCTGACTATCTATTTAAAAATAATTCTCAATATTTTGATTTTAAATACTCGTACCCTAACATTTATGGTACTAAATCTTAAGACCTCAAAGAATAACAACAATTATTTTATCTTCGATGTTGATGAGTTATTGCATAAAGTAATTTAATTGTGCTTTATACCGAACCCACAAATCCAAAATCTCTTTATGCCTTTACAAAGTAATTGAATAAGTATTTTTGTCTATAGGTTATCAAATATTGAATCAAACTTCATATTTGGATACATAACTTGGTCGTAGATATGTCTAGAATCTAACATGTCCAAACCTTGGACAAATTTAATCACGTATATCTGTTATATTTTCTTAATTAATTAGTAATTAGTATATTATAAATGATATTTTATTAACAATTATTTTAGTGATAATTTATTAACAATTATTTTAGTGACGACACCTATTTTGATGTTGATTATCGACAGTCAATTCTCTTTTTTTCTTTGTTTTTTTTAGTTTTCAATAAGAACAATTATACTTTTGTAACATATTTTTCTATGTCTTTTAGACACGTTTTTCATCTTTTTCAGTCATTTAATTTTTTTTATTTTATATTTTTTCAGGATTAAATTTGACAACGTCACGACTGATCAAAGATGATGTATTTATAATCATGTTGATCTTTCCTGGTATGGACCATCGAATTGAATTTGGATATGCAATTTTGTGTCGTTGATAGTTTCTCACTATGCTCGGCTCTGATTTGCAGTTCTCGGTGGTCTTTTAATAGCTTAATTCACTTTTGTTGTTCATTTATCGATGTAGTCAAATTTATACGTGTTTGTTTTTCAATCAAGTATTTTGATTGAGTTTTTAACCCTTTTCATGTATGGTCCTTGTATGATATAAAGTAGCTAGTTTTAATGTTATAGGAAAATGTTCAAATTATATATTTAGTTTACAATGATAATTATAAACTTATTGTAATTTTAAATATTTTTATTTTTTTAATAAGATTGACCGCTTCTAATTACAAAATATAAAGAACTATAGTGAAGTTAAAAGAGTATAGCATAAAGAATATCTGTCGAACACACATGGCTAAATAGAAATTTAGACATGTATTTACATAATTAGGAATGGATCATGGATTGACACGGATAATCGTTTCTTTGAATATTTATAAAACAAAATTGATTATTGCAGAATTCATGGCTTTTGGTTTGCAAGACTCGAAACCTTGTGTCAATTTGGGACCTTATTCGAGTCTTGCAAATCAACGGACGATTCTTACAAACAAAAAGCCATGAATTATATGATAATGTAGTTTGTTTTTTAAAAGATGCAGGAGTAAATAATCACCGATAAGATTTTTGCATGGTTTCAGTTGAGACCATGTTATTGTATGACTTTTGAGTAAAGAGAGATTAATGGCAATGAGAGTCAAAATGGGTGTCCGTTAGTCGATTTAACATGTCACATCAGTATTTTGTTATCATATATTAAATCATTAATTTTGATGGTTAAATGATCGATTTATTAATAATTAAATCATTAACTTTGAAACATCAATGAGAATAAAATAAACTTACTTAAATATTAGTGACCATTTATATAGTTTATCATATATTTAAATCATTTTCAATTAATTTGATCTATTAATTGGACTACAGCCCAAGTATTTGGGCCCAAATATTAACACGCTTTATTTAATGTTCTTCTTCTTCGCTACCGATCATGTTTTAGACGCAGGGTTCGTGTTGTGCACCGCACTCGGTATCGCGTCGGTGCCGGAACGCTGGCCAGAATCAATGAGTTCTTGTAATTTTGTCTAGAATAATGCATTTTAAGGGTTTGTTTACTGTTCTCACCGGGAAGTTAAAGGGGTTTTCCCTTTCTCAACCAATGAACTCAACACCATCTTTTTTCATACACCAGGGTATGCTTTTTTACTGATTTGCATTTGATTTTCTTTAGATTTTGATGTCACTACTGTAATTGTTTCAAGTCTGGAATTTGAGATTAATGCTTTGTTTATAGCTTTGAATTTCTTACTAGCAATAGCTGGGTAAAAATATTGATTGGATTTTATGGATTTGAAGTTTTTCTTACTCTAAGCTGCTCATTCATGTTTCCTGTGATGTAATTTCGGTATGCTTTTCTAAAAGAAAATCTGGGTTTTAATTTGTTTGATTGATTTCAAATAGTTATATATTTTAATAGGAAAACCAGCTAAAAAAATTAGTTTATCTCACTAATGTAATTGGTTTATGTCTAGCATTTGAGATTCATGCTTTGTTTATGTAATTGGTTTATGTCTAGCATTGAGATTAATCAATGATTCCGATTATGTGATTTTGGTATATTTCCTAAAAGGAAGTTTGGTTTTTATATTTGTTTGCTTCAATTCTAATAGTTATACATTTTAATAGGAAAACCAGTTGATAAACTTCAGGCTTTGATGTGTTATTCTAGTTTTTCAACCAATGATTACCTAAAGAAAGGCCATGATAAGACGATGCTGGCAAAGGACTTGGCATTTACTTGTTGAGGAATCATCTCATAAAGATGACAGGAAACCTAAGAGCAGAATGGATTCTAGTTTTTCAACCAATGATGACTTAAAGAAAGGCCATGAGAAGACAATGTCGGTAAAAGACTTGGCGTTTCTTGTTGAGGAGTCGTCTCATAAAGATGAAAGGAAACCTAACAGCAGAATGGATTCGAGTTTTTCAACCAATGATGATGTAGAGAAAGGCCATGAGAAGACAATGTTGGCAAAAGACTTGGCGTTTCTTGTTGAGGAGTCGTCTCATAAAGATGAGAGGAAACCTAAGAGCAGAATGGAGCTTAAGAGGTCTCTTGAACTTCGGGTAAAGAAGAGAGTAAAGGAGCAATTCATTGATGGAAAGTTCCAGAACTTGATGGTCAATGTGATTGCTGATCCAAATACACTTCAAGATGCTTATAACTGTATTAAGCTCAACTCAGATGTCGACATATCGTTGAAGGATGATTCTGTATGTTTTAATTCCCTAGCAAAGGAGCTTCTTGATGGGAATTTCGATGTTAGAGGAAATACCTTCTCATTCTCAACAGGAGGAATCAACAAAGAAGTCCTCGTACTTCCTAATCCGAAGACGAGAATTATTCAGGAAGCTATAAGAATGGTTTTGGAAACTGTTTACAAGCCCCATTTTTCTAAGATTTCACATGGTTGTCGAAGTGGGAGGGGTCACTCGACAGCATTGAGATACATCAAGAAAGAGATTTGTAGTCCAAGTTGGTGGTTCACTTTAATTTTAAACAAAAAGGTTGATTCTAGTATCCTTGCTAAGCTCATTTCGAAATTGGAGGACAAGATAGAAGACAACCAGTTATTTGGTATTATCCGTAGCATGTTTGATGCACAAGTCCTCAATTTTGAGTTTGGAGGTTTCCCGAAAGGCCACGGCCTTCCACAGGAAGGAGTATTATCCCCGGTTCTAATGAATGTGTATCTTGACTTATTTGATCAAGAATTTTACAGATTGTCGATGAGATATGAAGCTCTTCAGGATGGAGCTGATAAGGACGAAGATAACTCACATTCCAAGCTACGGAACTGGTTTAGGACACAGATGAAGGAAAATGATTGTAAAGGCATGACTGCTGATGATAATTCTGGCCCAAGAGTTCATTGTTCTCGGTTTATGGATGAGATCTTTTTTGCAATTTCTGGTTCCAAAGATATTGCTCTTAGTTTCAAGTCTGAGATTATATATTTCTTTAATAATTCTCTGTTCTTGGATGTTGATGACAAGCTAACAGAAATTTTACCTTGTGATGGGCCTAATGGCAGTCGGTTTTTAGGAGCTTTAGTTAAAAGAAGTGTGCGAGAAGGTCCTGCTACTAGTGCTGTGCATAAGTTGAAAGAAAAGGTACGGCTCTTTTCTTCTCAGAAACAAGATGCTTGGAATGCTGGGAGTGTTAGAATTGGGAAGAAATGGTTGGCTCATGGTTTAAAGAAGGTTAAGGAGTCTGAAATCAAGAATTTAGCGGATAGTGGCTCTACTTTGAGTAAAATTTCTTCTTTCCGTAAAGTTGGGATGGAAACTGATCATTGGTACAAAGTCTTAATGAAAGTATGGATGCAAGACATTAAAGCCAAAGCAGCGGAGAATGAGGAATCTATCTTGTCTAAGTATGTTGTTGAACCGTCCCTTCCTCATGAACTAACGGAATCTTATTATGAATTTCTGAAGCGTGTGGATGAATATGTTTCTTCCGAAACAACTGCTACACTTGCTCTTTTACCGAATTCAAACTCAAACACTGGATCAGTCACTATCACTGAGATTCTAGCTCCAACCGATGCTATAAAGAAGCGTCTGTTCCGATATGGATTGACAACCTCTGAAGGATACCCTCATGTTGCTTCACTACTCGTTTTACAAGACAGCCTCCAAATAATTGACTGGTTTGCAGGGATTGTTTATCGATGGCTTAGGTGGTATCAAGACTGTGACAACTTCAAAGAGGTCAAGCTTTTAATTTCTACTTTACTGCGGAAATCCTGTGTTCGTACTCTAGCAGCAAAATACAGGATTCCGAGAATGGTGAGCCAGTCAAGGCCCTGCAATTGTTTTGTTTTGGGTTGCTCAGTCGCATCACCGAGTGTCTATACTCTCCATGCTATGGAAAGACAAAAATTTCCGGGTTGGAAAACAGGGTTCGCAAGTTGTATCCATCCAAGCTTGAATAAACGGCGAATCGGGTTGTGTAAGAAACATTTGAAGGATTTATATCTTGGTCATATATCACTTCAGTCTATTGATTTTGGTGCATGGAATCGGGTTGTGTAAGAAACTAGAAAACCTCATATGGCTCTGTCTAGACGACTGCAGTCAGTTCATACAGCTTCGGCTTCCTCATCAGATTGGGTGTATCCGGAGTCTTGAAAGTTGGGAAAGCTTAAGAGCTTCATTCAAAGAAGTTGCCAACAAAAATCATGCCACGCCAGAAAATGATACAACTGGTAATTCTTGCAACTGCAATTGGAATGGAACAGAAGAAAGGATGATTCCCGGTAAGCTTTTTGAAAGGCTTTCTAATCTATAACTTATTATTGACATTAGCCTAGTATCAGAAGATGGAGTGAAAATGCAGATGGAAACTGCAAGCGAATCTTCACCTCTACCTGAGTTATCCAGGACAACGGATTATGAAAAGCAAAGGGCGAAACTCAGCAGTCAGAAATTCGAAGGCTGCAGTTTAATTGTCAACCATAAGAAACAGAAGTGTCAAATTTATGCCAGTGAAAATAGATGTTTACTACTGTATTTTTTTGGGTTAAATACTATGAATCAAAGGAGGTTCGAGGAAGTTGAATACTGCCTTCTTTCTTTGGGTTAGTTAGGAAAATCCCATGAAATTGCCATGAATATGAGCTGCAGGACAAAACCTGCGCGTAAAATACAAGTAAATGCTTTTAATTTCTTCTTTTATAGATTCAATAAGTTAATTGTTACATTTTTATTCTCCTTTTTTCCCCTTTATCTGAATCTGAACTATGTTGAATTTGCTGCAAATGAGCTATAATACCATATCTTGTTATTGCTCCAAACTTGATTGGAAATCATAATCGTGTCAAAGAACTGAAGCCGATGATTTCTTCTAGCGTGATTGCAAGGCTTTCTAAGTTAGAAGAACTGAGCATTCTGTGAGCCATTGTAGCAGAAGATATCAAAATGCAGCCGGAATCGCTCGTGAAATTTCCGATTTGAACTGATTGGTCACCGAACTACTACCAGTTTATCAGCCTTCCGTGCTGATAACTTACAAGGTGTGGAAGCATGTATGGTTGCGGAGTATAACGAGCTGGAGAACATCATAGACAGCACAGGTGTTGAATTTGAACGCTTGAAAAGCCTACAAATAGGCACTCTACCGAAACTGAAAGGTATCCGGCAGCTCCCGATAGAATCTAAAGGCCTTTGTAACCTTACGACAGTTAGAAAATCTGCCGTTGGAGGACTGCTGCATCATTATTGATGACGAAAGGACGTGCAGATGAATCCCGTGCCTTTCCAATGTTTAAGAATTTGCAGCTCTGAGACTTATCGGATGCTTCATTTCTCATGTCTCTTTGCGTTGGCCCTCGTTGGAGCTAAGAAATTTACCACATAAAATTCAAAATGCGTCGAAACTGAGAACAATTCAGTACACAGAAGATTGGTGCAATCAACGGGATTGGTCAATAGCACTAATAAAAGATGATTTCAGAAAGTTTCTCAGTTTCATACGACGAGAAGATCCTCAACTAGGACCAGTACATCCACAGCTAGAGGCATTATCAAAGAGGTGACCTGTTGAAGATTTTGCAAGAATCGAGATGATATATGGTCGGACCTGACCGTATGCTAGTGTAGCATTGTCTCCGATGGCGGAGACATCGAATTCTTTTAAGTTCATGTCCTATACCCTATACCATACGTGATTTTCATTCATCTGTTCATGTTCTCTTCTCAATGCTTGTTCTTTTGCTTTTGAGTGAACTCTAGATTTTATATTTGTTTCTAATCATTTCCAATTGTACATTAATGGCTGAATATTCGTTTCAGATGTCTTTATTGATTATTTTCCAATTGAACTCCAGACGATGTTTCGAGGTTCAACTAGCGATGGCAAACTTCTAAAATATTTAAGGGACTGAGGGACGATTCGTAACCAGAGACTTAATCTAACGGGAGGCCTAAAATGCATTAAAATGCCCTTAAAATGGATAAATTATTAAAGGGTAAACGACATGTTTAGTACTTCAATTATCAGTTTTGGTATGTTTTAGTATCTATTTAATATTTTAGTAGTAGTTACAATTTTTTTGTTAAGGTTGCCGCATCATCAATTTAACAAAAATAAGTGACATTTTGTTACAAATCAATATCATTAGTGACAAATTTGTTACTTTTGAAACTTCAGTAGAAGAAACGAAAACTTACTCAAATATTAATGGTCATTTGTATTGTTTACCCTAAAAATAATGACACTTCCAATAAAAATAATAGATCAATCTTATAAATTATCATATATATATTTTAAGAAAAAGAACCGAAAATAAAAAAGTTTTGGAGTAAATTAGATATAAAATCATGGTTTAAGTAGTTATTTAATATTTTAGCAGTCTTTTAGTGGTAAAATTAAATATTAATCTTTTTTGTTGTTGCCACATCATCAATTTAACGAATGTAACGATGAAGTGACATTTTTTTACAAATCGATAATATCAGTGATCAATTTATTACTTTTAAAACTTTAGTAGAGAAAATAAAAACTTACTTAAATATTAATGACCATATGTGTAATTTACCTTAAAAAATAATGACACTTTTAATAAAAATAATAGATCAATCTTATAAGTAAAAAATAGTAATAAGATACCTATAGAATAATTTTCTTATAATTCTAAAAGTTATTATTATATATTTATAGAGAATAAATTTGATCACCGAGAATTTTTGCTTAAAAATATTATCTTAAAAGTTAAAAATTATAAAAAAAATCCATTCGTTAATAAAAAATAATAAAAATAAGGTTTATTTTTAAAAAAGAAAAAGAAAAACGTAACTATCCATATATGAATAATTAATGTATGATAGTACTTAAATAGTTGAACTACTTTTATCGAGAAAATTTAAAGAACGATAATCTCATTGAAATAGTTGAAATTTTTTTATAATTTATAATTTTTTCAATCATTTTTTGAAAATATTATATAATTTTAAAATTAACATAATATTTAGAAAAATAAACAAATTATAACTGAATTGGCATAATACCTACACTTTACGAATCAAATCTCTTAAATTGATATATTACCTAAATATTAGTAATTAAATTATTATTATATCAATTTATAAAATTCCACATCATCCATCAATTACTAATTTAACTAAAATGAATAAAAAACATATAATTCTAAAAATTATGATAGAATATTTTTTAACTTTTTATTCTAAAACATTTTCATATATGGATAGTTACGGTTTTTCTTTTTCTTTTTTAAAAAATAAACCTTAGTTTTATTATTTTTATTAATTAATGGATTTTTTTATAATTTTTAAATTTTAAGATAATATTTTTAAGCAAAAAATATCAATGATCAAATTTATTTTATCTATAAATATAAAATAATAATTTTTAGAATTATAAGAAAAATATTCTATAGATATCTTATTACTATTTTTTTATAATTTTTAACTATGTGAATTTATGTTACAGAGATAGATTATATAAAAGTATATATTGTGTTTGTGAGATACATGAAATTTTATGTATTTTTGTTTTTTGTAATCTCTATCTGTTAATTATAAATTATTTGTTTCTTTATTCATAGAGATAAATAAGATCGAATCACTTTGAACTTAATTTATTACATGTGTTTTATTTTATATTAACTCAATATTTAGCTTTTCTGCTTATATATTGTTAACCTTATCATTAAAATAATAAATTAACACAATTTTATGGAAATTAAAAATAAATCAATCATATTTTTTTTGTAATATCAAAATAAAAAGATAATTAATAAAAAATGAGTATTGTAGAGTAATGAGAATATAGTTGATACAGTGGATATTACTGATTTTAACAATATGAACCGTAAAGGTAGATGTGGAGAAGACAACCATGTCCAGCTACATCATCATCTCTGATCATGACAGACAAGACTACAAGAGGTGTACTGTCACACTGAAAATTCTTTATTACACGAATTCATCTAGGTAATAAAAAAATATTAATTTTTTAGGTTTATATTTAAATATCATAAATATCTAAGATATAAGCGTTTAATTTTAAAAGATTGAGATTTATATTTGAATATATATTATATTTTATTTATCTTAAATTAATAAAAAAATTATTTATTATCTTAATTTAGTTGAATTAAACCTAAAAGTTAAAAAATTAAATTATATATTTAGTCACTTAATTATTTGTCGAGAAAATAATTTCATTTTAATAATCTAATTAAAATTTTAAAATTATACTTAATATTATATTTTGATCAGTTGTTATTAAAAAAATAGTGATGATGGCTATGTGTCACTATAAGATAATATCACATCATCATTATGACACATCATGAAAAATAAAAAAATAAAATATCGATAATTTTGTTATTTTTTTAACTATGAGTGACTAAAATAAATTCAAAATGTAATATTATATATAATTTAAAAAATATTTAATAATTAGGTAATTGAATACATAATTTATCCTAATTAAAACTATTTTTTCTCATGACTTGAAAACGAATGGTCAAAGTGAGACTTAAATTTTAACTTTAGTGAAAAAATAAGAATTATGATATATATTTTCATCTTACATAATATATTTAAAGAAATAAATTATTTTAGTATTGTGGTGAGAAAATAATTATTTGAATAAAGTTATTTTATAATTTAAGGGGATTATTATAATAATTCGAAGAATTCACCAAAACTTGAGCACAATTTCAAGAAAATATGTTAGTCGTATGACGATTTCATGATCTCCTTATACTTGCAAGACGAGTTCTCATGTTGAATGCATGTCAGCACATAGACGCAGGAGAAGAGAGGACGCTAGGCAACAACATTGGGGAAATTGTCGTGCACGTATGACAGATCATAAAATTGTCATCAAATATATTTTGAAATCATTAGAAAATTTTGACAAAATTTATAAATTATTGTAACAATGAAATAATATTTAATGCGTCTTTTTAAACAATTTTTTAGCCATAATATTCAAACAATTCTAGGTAAATTGTTAAATAGTAAGTTTTCTTTATATGTAATCAGTTAAGAATATTAATATTTTAAATAATATTATTAATCAGAATTTCAGCACAATTTAAAAAAAACATATTAGTTGTATAATGATTTTATGATCTCGTCATACTTATAAGACGAGTTCTCATACAATCATTATGGAGTCGGTACATTTTCTTGAAATCACTATAAAATTTTAATAATTATTATAGCAATTATTTTAAATCATAAAATAATTTCTAAAGCGTCTCTTTAAATAATTCTTAAACCATTATATTCAAACAACCCTAGGTAAATTGTTATATAAGTATTATTTATAAGCAATCAATTAAGAATATTAATTTATTAAATAATTTTTGAAAATGTATTATTTGTATAAAAATCTTTCTGCATGACCAATCAAATCAATCTACCTTTCTTTTTTTATCTGAACAGCTGGATACTATTAATAGAACAAAATTAATTTAAGAAAATATTATAATTTTTTTAAAACGTAACATTTTATTTGTGAACCAGCTTCCTTCACTTATAAATGCACAAAAGCTTTACCATTAAAGATCAAACTCCACTTGCTCTGCTCTGCTATCTTCCATGGAAACTCCCTTAACTTTCTTCCCC